TAGAAGAACTAAGAAGCTAATACTCATTTATGGAGGTGATGATCTGGTTCCAGTCGGATATACGGATTCTGATTTTCAATCAGATCCTGATGCCAGGAGATCTACATCTGGATATGTGTTCAAGTTCAATGGAGGGGCAGTTAGTTGGAAGAGGGTCAAACAGGGTTGTACTGCTGACTCAACCATGGAAGCAGAATATATTGCAGCCTTTGAGGCAGCAAAAGAAGCTGTTTGGTTGAGAAACTTTCTAATTGAACTGGAGGTTGTGGAGCACATAGATCGGCCTATAACGCTTCATTGCGACAATAGTGCAGCTATAGCCCAAACCAAGGACCCAAAATTTCATAAAGGAACAAGACATATTCAGAGGAAACATCATGTGGTTCGTGATATAGTAAAGCGAGGAGATATACTTGTGGCTAAGATTGCATCGGAACATAACCTTGCTGATCCATTCACAAAGGCTTTACCGATTAAGATGTTTGATCGTCATATGGAGAACATGGGAGTTAGATGTGATTTGAATTGGCTATAAGTGCAAGTGGGAGCTGTTAGGATATGTGTGCCCTAGCATAGCAAATTCTAATTTTGGATTGTAAAAGTCATGGTTTCTTATTTGGATATTATTATTAAAGCATTATACAATTGGTGAATGGAATGTATTATTTTTCGATTCTTTATGGAATTGATGGTGTCTGCTTGATTACAAAATATATTTATATATGTATGTAATGGCAATTAATACTATGATATAAATTAGTAATCATAAATGATTTAAAGTTGGTAATTATGGATGGACATTTAATTAGTTAAGACTTAAACCGAGTCCACGATAGATTGAGATATATTGCAAGAGCTGTCGTATGCAATTGCTCTCTATCACAGTCATGGCTTTTGACTCTCAAGCATGAGAGAAGTATAGACTCTTTTATTAATTAATAATTACTTTGATTTGTTCGGCGGATACCTTGGGATCCTTAGATCGACACTTTGGGTAGTTATGTAATTAATAATTAGAGGTCTATATTCTCAATATTTGTATCAGTGCTATTTGTATTTATTTTGTTTTGATTATGATTGATCACAAATTAAATTCGAAGGCCTTCGTATGTTTTAGACAAATGTTTTCTATATATATTTATTTAATAAATTATTATTATTTTTTGTCAAATAAATATTTTATTGTGATCGAGCCGGAAATAATCAAAGGTAACAAAATAATTATATTAATTATGTTGTCGGATTGATGGCTTTAATTATCCGATAAATAATTAAGCATAGAGGGGTCAAAGTGCAACATTGACTTAGAGGTTATTTACTATTTAATTGGAGTGCAATTAATTTCTTTTAGTGGAGTAGAAATTAATTTATGAATTAATTGAATTGGGTCCATGGTTTAATGGACCGGACCAATTATTAATTTATAGGAGCTAAGAAAATAGTAAGGCCAAAATGATTTTCACCAATAGCCCAAGTTGATATTGGAGTCATGTTAGGATTGAGAAAGTTGAATTAGAGATGGAGAATGATTTATTGTTTCCTTATTCTTATTTTTATTTTGCCTATATATACATGAGTTCATGTATATTTTAGGTGGGACTTGGAGAACAAGAAAAAAAGGAATACACTTTCTCTCTCTAGATTTTAGGGTTTTGTTTTCTCTTCTAAAGGAGGCTACCACCAGTCTAGATTCCAAGGTCATTCATCAAGGTATATTGGTGATTCCTAAAGGGAAGATAATAATCGAACGGAAGGAGAAAGGATCTTGCTAAAAGGATCTACAATAAGTGAGAACATTCACTTTAGAGAAAAGTTCAAAAGGTTTACTCAGACCTTTGATGTAAGTATTCAATCTGTTTATTGAATTATGCATCATCTTTTATTTATCTTTAGCATAAAACTTGTCTCTGTGTGATGAATCAAGATCCGTGATTGCAAATCCCTCAAAAGTTTTAAAAACTTGCACGTTTCCCAACAGTTTCAACCAGTCTGGAACAAGCAAAATGGGAAAACTGGAGTATTATCTTCATTAGTTCGAAGGAATTAGTCTCCACTAGCGTCATTCAAAAAACAGACAAGAAAAAGGTTTCTGTGGTTAAATGGATGCCAAAGCTCTGCCTTGAATGGTCTCCCATGAATGAGTTCTAATTGGTGAACATATTAGTTTCATTAGTTGAACAGTAGTTAAAGGCCCTCCCATGAATGATTCACTCATATATATATATATATATATATTTTCGTATTGATGCAATTCTCATCAATATCTTCATGGCCCAATATATTGGATCAGTTAAATGGCTATTTCTGGTTTTGCAGTTCATTTATGGATGGGTAATTTTGCTGAATATGCAAGACCAAGAACTCCCCCGGGACCGGCAGCACCTCCAGGAACTGAACCAGCAAACTGACAGATGACATTCTGAAGCAGTTGATTACTATTTAAGTTGCAGGGCAAGTCAGAAAGGAATTTGTTGCTGCTGTTGTGAACATTTTTTTTTTTTGGCTGGAGATGACTGCATAATTTATTGCCTATTGGTTGAAGCTTATGCAGTTGCCTTCATGTATCAAAACTGACTAGGAGATTTATCTAAAGCTTGTCTCTGCACATTCTCATAATTAAAAACCAATATAAATCATGAATTTAATTCTCTTGAGCTGTACCTAAACACAAGTTGTAAATGCCCCACACCATCCAAGGTGTTTTTGTATTACCCTTTATCAAATTTTATTACATGATTATGGATAAATTATTGTCCGTTGCTGGACGATACTGTTGGTTCGGACCAATCACATGGTGACGAAACATAAGCAAAAAGTGGAATAAAATTAACCCAAAATTAATACATTTCTTGTGTGTCAACTAGTGATAATAAGCTCGAGATTGATGTTATAATTTTTCTGGATTGTGGCACTATAATATATTAAAAGAGAAGGGTATCTTCTTTTGGTGGAATGGATTTACTTAACTCCTCTCAGGCTATGTTTGGTTTGAGTGAACGGAATTAAATGAAGGTGGAATGAAATGCATTTGTTTTCATTCTCTTGTTTGGTGTGTTAAGTTAAAAGTGGAATGGCCATTCCATCAAAAAGGTGGAATGCCCATTCCTTCCACCAAGAATTAATAAAGTAATTTAAAGAGATAATTCAGGCATACACACACTATATAATATATAATATATATAATACGTATCTATATGCCGTTTGTTTCCTCTCTCCGATTTACACACACAAGGTTGAGACAAAAATAGTGTAATTGAACTTCTATGAGCTTTTGTACATTGTTATGCAACTTTCTCAGTCATTATCTAGCCCTCTGTTTTTTTTTTCTTTATTATCTATTTCCTTTTTATTTTTACAGTCATCGGAGAATCCTCTGTTTCTCTCTATCTCGTTTATTTTCTCTTTCTATTATCTCTTTCCCTTTTATTTTTGCAGATTAATTTTTTTAGTTAATTTTTTTTACTAATAATAAATTATAATTTAAAGAAATAATATAAATTCATTCTATTCCAATTTTTTTACTAAACATAGGAATGAGAATGAGATTCCATTTTTACACATTCTGTTTACAACCAAACGGTAGAATGAGAATCATTATTCTCATTCCATTCCATTCTCATTTCATTCCCACCTTTATTCTCATTCCATTCAAATTCATTCCACCACACCAAACATACCCTTACTGTTTCCTTTTAATAACCACAGAAAGGAAAAGTTCTTCATTTCCTTTTCATTCTTTCTCCTACAAAATGGACCATTTGTTGGATTATAAAGTGGTGAAACTAAAACTTTTTTATTTTTTGCCTTTTCAAGTATTCATTTCGTCTGAATTAAGCTAAGCTGTAAATTAGGTGTACTTTAGATCAAAATTTCTTTTTAGTGGGATTGATCTGTTCACTATAACCAAACTTTAAGCTAAAGGCTTATTTTAATACCGAATATTGATTTAACAATTATGATTATTCTTAACCACTGAAAAAGAACATAACTGTGCTATATAAATTCAAATTGTAAGTCGACTAAAATGTTCGATGAAGTTAAATTTATGAAATCATAGGTGAAGTTCAAATGGTCCGTCAGTATTTTAAAGAAAAAATCACACGGATTTTTCCTCGAATTTGGATAAATTACACATAGAGAGACTGTTCGTGTTTATCACTTTGACTTCCCCAAATATATTCGCCAAATGTCAAGTAATGAATTTGTGTGTGAAAAATCAGTAATGTCCTTATATTACAATAATATATTATATTGCAAATATTTGTTAATCTAAAAATTCATGTGACTCGTGTGTAATTTGTCCAAATCTTAGCGAGTGGTCAGTATAATTTACCTTATTGTCCCCATTGTCTTTTCATATAAGAGAATGGTAAAATTGTTATTTTATAAAATTTGGTCGACCAAAGAAAATATTAATATTTAAGGGAGAAACGATCTACCCGTGTATAATTTACCCTATTATAAAGGGGTAAGTGCAAAAAATACACCCTCCAAGTATACTCTGAGTAGCATTTTTACCCATTTATTTGAAAAAATGTGCAATAAACACCCCTAATCTTTTGAAATTGTGTAAAATTACCCTTCTGTCATAAATTTGACATAAATTATTGTTGTAATACCCATTTTGCCCTTTTAGTCTTCTGAAAATACCCATCATTTTCTATTTACTCTCTGCGATTCACCGACTCTTTCTCCCACCACCGTCAGCTCCTCCCGTTTTCTTCTTCTTTAACCATCGCTTAATGGTACAACCTTCTCCTCCTCCTCACACCATATACACACACGCGCGCGCACACAATATATATATATATATATATATATATATATATATATATGAATGGATGAGATTGATGTGTGTGTGTGTGTGTATATATGAATGGATGAGATTCATATATACACACACACACACATCAATCTCATCCATTCATACATATATATATATATATATATAAATACACACACACACATATATCTCTATATATATACACGGCGGCTGCGAATCAGGGTACCATCGGCGGTATCGATGGCTTGTGGGTTGTGGATTGGAGGTGGAGGTGGCGGTGGGTGGATCTCAATGCCAAGATTGTGAACCCAGGATCAATGGGTCTGCGAAAGGGAATCGAGATCCACTCTCTTTGCCACTCCCAACCTTCACGTCGTCGAGCCTTCATTGCCGTCCCGTCCTTTTTGCTCAACGGCAACTCAATCGAGGTGGCAGGGGAAACCGCCGATATAAGAGACGGATTTGTAGCTGCAAAAGGCCCATGAGGCTATAATGTTACCGATTTTTCCTATTTTCTATTTTTTCTAGAATTTATTTGACTTTCCTGGATTATTTTAATCCTTGTCTCGTTTTGCGTTTCATGCAAGCCCCGAGGGTCGTTTTGGTCATTTTCTTGAGTCGAGAATTTTAGAGATGTAATTTTTATTTATTTTAAGTCATTTAGAGGCGACGAGACAATTTTTAGAATTTTTGGAAGTCAATATGATTTTGGGTTCTGGAACTTCTCCCGGTTTTCTTATTTTAAGTGAGGGGCATTGTAATCATTTCACATGCATATATATATGTGTGTGTGTGTGTGTGTGCGTATTTATTTTGGTGGGAGATATTTAATGAGACATGGAAGAAGTTACATTGAAAGTGCAATGGCAAAAAGGTAAGCCAACCAAAAAATAGTAGCCACTGGTGACAAATGGCAAGCCATTAGCCACAAGGTCAAAAGTTGACCACAACATTTTCCTCTTCTTTTCTCCTCGGCATAATGAATCTCTCTCTCTCTTTATATTTCTATATTCATGTCTACATACTTTCAAGTTTCATTTTGAGTGACTTATGTTAGGATTTAGGTGAAGCTATAAAAGGGAAAATTACAAGCATGAAGGGGGCTTTCTTTTAACACCATTCATGCAAGGGTTTAGAGGGGCTTCGAAAATTAGGAAGCTTAAGGGCTTGTTTGGCTAGCACATTTTGAGGTAGGGGTTGTCTAACTTGTGTAGTCCTAAGTCCTTATAAGTGATTATTGTGTTTCCCTTTAAAAGCATGCTAAAATTTTACATGAATTTGGTTGAATTGGACTATAGGTTTCGTTTATGATTATTGCTTGTTAAGTTGTTACTTAAATTGAGATCAATATTACCTGTGTGTTGCTTAGTTGTTAATGAGGATTTCTTGTTAAATTGTTGCTAAAGTAAAGTCATTATTCAGATTATAATTGTGTGGGATAATGGAAAATGTGTTAAAATTCACTCATTTTATTATGCTCTTTTATGCTATGTGTCATGCTTACTTGACTTGAGGATACGCCATTTAGGCATTCTCTACTGAGCGGTGGTGCTTAACCCTCTTATCTTAAACATTTTCAGGGTTTTAGGAGCGACGAAGTGGATAAGACGTTTTCACATGTTTTACATAGTTAGAAAGTTTATAAATTGAAGTTCATGTATCTATGTTCAATGTAATTGAATTTATTCTGTTGTATAATGATGTAATTTAATCTCATTATGATGTACGAATATTATCTTATCAATGTGAGCCTGTTTATGGATGTTCTGGAACAGATTTTAACCATATTAGATGTCACAAGTGAAGCCATTGGGTTACCAAACTGTTTAGGCACTTAAACAATGAGAAACTCGCAATTTTAGGCTATTTCGGTCGACCAGTAAGCCATTTTGGTTGACTGGTATCATTTGAAATTGAAACCAATAGCCTAGGACACTCCAGAGTCACAACCGGTCGATCGGTGGGTCATTTCGGTCGACCGATGTAGCACTCACAGGTCTGCCAAAATGAAATTGTGATAGCTTTGAATCCCAGATTTCAAATGATCATATCTCACTCATTTTAACTCCATATTGGATCAAATTTGAGTCTAACTTCAAGGATTTTAAGTTAGTTTTCCAATGAAATTAATTTCACTCAAATATTCCAATCGTAGAAAGAGTTATAACCTTTTTAGTGTGAACTGCTCCAGAATTCTTTGAAAATAAAGGGGCAATTGTGTGAAATTCTCATTCTTATGTCTAGGACCTTGTGTCATGAGTTTAAATGACCCTTATGACTTATGAATTATGATGACCTATTTAGACTCATTTAGAGTTATATTATTTATTACCACACCTTAGTTGACCGTTTTACCCTTGGATATTATCGGGTTCGGGTAAGAACCCAGCTAACAATTCGGACCTACGGGTTCGGGTTGTTACAGAAGCGGTGAGGATATGGCGTGATTTCGTCTCCATTCTCTCTCTCCGTTGATTTCTATTGCCCAATTATGGGTTTGGGGATAGTGTGGGTGGCGGCGCCTCCATCATCAATGCTGTAATCCGACATCTCTCCATCGAGAAGTAATCAAAGGCGGTAGTGAGTGGCGGCAGCACCATCACCACAACCACTGATCTGACGTTGAGCTTGCAAGCGGGATATGAAAAGTTCCACCATTGCCTCCCCAAGCTATATGGTTCACCCTTCATGCCCAATTCTACTATTTTTCTTTCATTTTGATGTGTAAGGAGGCCCATTCCCCTTACTCCCGCTTCCATTAGTGTGTGCCTCTTGCATTTGGCTCAACTTATACGCACACTTAGCTTATTATTTATTTACACTGCTGGTCAACAAATTCCTTCAAGCCTTTTGTTTGTTCCACTTATCTCGTCTTGGCAAGATAGAATACTAAGAATAATGGAATGCCTTCTGGTTTCTGTTTCACTGGCGTCATGTGCCTCAATCGGGTCATAGTTCACGACTTGATGGGTCTCAATTTTCTGGATGCTATGGATTCGTCATAGTTCACAGTCGCCTCCAAGCTACCCGTCTTTTATGACAGTCTCGATGCCCAATTTTTTTTTTTATTATTATTATTTTTTATTTTTTATTTTTTTTCCCTGGCAAAGCCTAACGGCACTTATAATAGAGCAACACAAACAACCATAAACTTACAAACGACAGATACCACAAACATACATAGACCATCCCTAGAAAATAGACAACACACAAAAGACCCTGGACAAAGCAAACCACTGCTCAAAGTGGCCCATATCATGTTGAAAATAGAAAAGACCATGGGTCCCATTATAATGATACTCATATTGCAACAACAGCCACGCAAAGAAAAAAGCGAACTCCAGAAGCTTATGGTAGCATAGCTGCGTGACGGCAACGCCACAGACCTCAAACCAGCTATTAACTTGTTGCATCCCTTTCTGACACATAACAGTGCAGTGCACAACTGGAGAACGCCTCGACAATACAAAACAAGTAATACAAACAGATACGGAAAGACCCTGCACAATCCTGACCGCACAAAACAAAAAGGCTTGACAATGTTCATGTGATGTCCAGCACCAACACGCATAAGAAGGATTGAGAAAAGACACCACAGGAAACGCCGAGAAAACTGAGGAGCCCTAACGCTTACACAATCACCAAACCAAGGGAATTGACCAAACGCCGGTAAAGCACCAGTAAGGAAAGCATCGTCAGAAACAAAGCACCACCAAGAATAAAAAACATAAGAAACTCGAAGCGCCGAAGGATAACCATCCTCATAGAAATGACCGGCAACAAGAAACCACGACCCATAGTCAATTGCGGCCGGAGGAGAAGCAGCTCTGAACAGAGCAAGAGAAATGAGCAGCCAACCTGCTTTAAGAACACGTCCAACGCGCAACAACCTGAAACAAGAAAGGAATTCCGGTACGCGGGACCATGAAAACAACTCGCCTTTCCTAAATAGCGAAGCCGACGATAGGAAATCCCTTGCATCAACCAACCATAACCTATAAAGCATGGCCACAGAAAGCATGACCACAGACAAAAACCTGACGTGGACAAACAAATGGCCAGGGGAAGAAACCCAAACTTTGAAAACACCCAGGGGAAGAAAAGAGAAAAAACGCTCTGATCACACAGAGAAACCTCAGCTCACCTAAGAACTCTCATGAGAGAGAAAAACATACTCAAGGTCATCTTTAATGTTGGATGAGGCTATGTTCTCGATGCCCAGATTGAATTACAGAATGGGTGTGCAAAATTGATTGCACCAAATTGAAAATTGATTACAGAATTGTTCTTTTTCGTCTTTTTACAAAATTTTGTATTTTTATATATTTTATAAAATTGTTGACTAAGGGTACTTCTGTCAAATTTGGTTTTAAATGTGCCAGAGGGACTTGATTACACCAAATTAAAACTTGAGGGGTGTTTTTTGCACTTGACCCTATTATAAATTCAGTAGAAGAATTTTTTTTTAGACTAGTGGACTCACTAGCTCAGTGATTATAAATTTTCAAAATAATAATAATAATAGCAATAAAAGAAAACAATTAATATTCGCATTTAAAGGAGGGAAAAAAAATAAAAATTCTTTCCCCAGTGCTTGTGAGAAAGTGAGAGGATTAACCCACTTGTTTGGTGATGATTGAAATCAAAACAACTGAACAAATTCAGTTTTATGGAAATTGTTTTTTAAAATTTCAATTATATGATTCTTTAAAAACAAATTTATGTTTTTCGAGTGAGTAGTGGAACTTTTATCGGGGTCACAAAACAAATAGGCCCAAAGATTTACTAGTATTTCTTTAAACGGGCTTCCCAGGAAAAACGACGACATACTTCATCTCTCCATTATAGAGAGATATACGTGCGTGTATATATAAAATTGACTCTATATATTCATCACTGGTTCAGAGAAAGAATTGACGAGTGCCATCGACTAGCAGAATCGGATCCAGGAGAATCTATAATCGGCGGCCAGTGTAAGATGCTCAATCGCCTTTTCCCTAAATTAGACACTTCAGATCCATTGCTTCCGTTTGATCCCATCGTCTGCAAAGCATTACCGTCTATTCTAGGGTTTTATTTAGATCTTTCATTCATTCTAATTTTATGTATGGGGTTCATTCTAATTTTATCAATCAAGACCAGATCTTTTGTTAACTTTTGTTGCATGATTGTTGTTCGATACCTATATATATATAGATAAACTGTACTATTTGAATTGCTCCACTTTAACTAATATATTTTTTTCGTAATTGTGTAAATGTACAATTTTGTGTGGGCTCAATTATAATATATATATATATATACACACACACACATCCAATTATAATATATAATTTTATGTTACGAAGGCTTAGTCCACGTGCCCATTAAATTTTTTAGTTATGTTTTAGACTCAATTTTATTATTTATTCATTTTAAAACAAAAACCAAGTCCATCTGTACAATCAAACACAAGCCTATTAAATTTTTTAGTTATATTTTAGACCCAATTTTACCATTTATTCATTTTAAAACAAAAACCAAGCCCATCTGTACAATCAAACACAAGCCCATCTGTGCAATCAAACCCAAGCACATGTCTTATGTCTAACCCTAATCATCTTTCTTTTTTCTAAAATTATAAGTAGCCCACGCAGCAACGGCAACACACTCAACAATTTGTTTTTTGTCATGGAATCTTACTTCTCTCTCTTTCTCTTATTATATTTGATTTTTATGTATTAATTGTCTTTCATCCAAATAGATTTTTAGTATAGATTTTGGGGTTTACTATTGATCTGTGCATCTCTCAACTTTTTCCATTAAAATCAACATTGGTAAGTTTAATTTTCGATCAAATTTATCACTTTCTTTCTCTTTTTCTCTCAAACTTCTCTCTTTTTATTGCTGCAAATCTATTTCTCTCATTTTATTTATTTTAAGATCTGTTAGATGCTATAAAAAAAAAAAAATTAAATAGCTCGAGCTCGGCTCGAGGCTCGTTGAACAGAGCTGAGCAGAGCTTGAACCAAAATTTCTCGGCTCGGCTCGAGCTCGAGCCGAGCTTGAGCATTCTATCACTTGAGCCGAGCCATACTCGAGCACATTATAGCTCGGCTTGGCTTGGCTCGATTGCAGCCCTATGCATAGAATAAATCTTTTCCTTTTTATACATTATTTTAAGACATAATTTTACGAGAGATAATTTTGACCCTCTTTTACTTATAAAAACCATCTCAAAGACCCTTGGAAACAGTATCATGTTCATCATAAGACACTAAAAGCCGATAGCACACCAAAACATAAAGGTACCAGAACTAGTAAGAGCCTGTTGCGATTGCTGTTAGAATGATGAAAGCGTTTTTAGTAGTAGAGCTGTCACAAAACTGTTGTCAGTAACGAGTATGTTATGTGTTTGGCAATGAATTGTATAAAGTATTTTTTATACTTAAAGCACTTTTAAATTTGTTTGGAAACAATGTTGTCTCAAAGCACTTTATTACTAATTTACTATATGGGTACACTAATTTACTATATTTTCACTCTACGGGGCCTATAGTATCTCTACGGCTTACCAGATACGATGAGAACAGTGGCGGAGAAGAAGCAGATCGGTGGCGCTAATCAGCAGTAACAGATTTTTTTTTTGCATAATCAATATATAATACAAGGGATAGAATTGTATTTATATAAAAAACAGAGGGATTAGATGGTCTAAAAAAAGTAGTTAAGTACCTCTACCTAGAACGCAATTCTAAAAGTTATGATTTCTAGCTTCAAGTAAATGCGCCTTTTTAACAAAATCTCTACCATCTAAAAATACTTTTTTTTGTCACCAAACAAATCTAACCGGCAATTTTTTTTTAGATGAAAGCGCTTTTTAGTGGTAGGGGAGCAATTCCAAACGGGCTCTAAAGTCTATAGTCCCGATGAATACTTAATTACTGACATAATAATTGCACTAGATTCTCAAATATTGATGTCCAATCACAGTGATAAAGAACAGGTCACGTCATTATTAGCAATGTCATTGGACATAGTCAATGGTGCCACTTATTATCTGCAAAACAAATTCATCTTGATGAAGCGAAGACCGTTACTTTTGATTTCAGTTAAATAACTTTTCAAATAATTAATCTGTTGATTCTAGCTCATCATTTTTTCAGCGCTATGTTCCAATTTAGCAATATCAAATTCACATAATAAAAAATGACAATACCACAATAAGGGAGGGCTTAATATTAGTAAGATAAGCTCATCAAATAAAGGAGAACAAAATAATTTGAAAATCAAAAATAAGAACAGCTTACTAACATATGTAAATTTCCTTTGAGTCTTCTTCCTAGATGCATTTGCTTCTTTAGCATTGCTCTCTTTCTTGTCAACATCTTTACGGATTGCGCCATCAATCCTAATGGAGGACTTGACAGACTCTTTTGTGTTTTCGCCCTCCATACCATCCTGAAACATAATGTTTCCATGATTTTGTTCCCATTTTGGATCAATATCAATATGAGAAAGCCACAAATCATAACAGAACCATCTTTGATACACCCAGCATCTAAATTACTTACAGTTATATCGTCTGTAGGCTCTTGAAATCCAGCATTAAAGACATTCAAGATACTTTTGCCTCCTGATTCAATCCCAACATTTGCTACAGCACTCTTTAATCGATCATCTTGGCCCTCATCTTTTGATGTTAAAGAACAGCTTCCTATGGTACCTTTGACACCAATAGAAGAACTTGAACCAATATCAAAAATTGTTTCATCTTCAACACAACTTAAGAAGTCAGTCACATTATTATGCAGGTCAGAACTTTTCAAGGCATCACCAATGATTATCTTAGGCACAACTTGAGAAGGACATGCTTTCGTAATTTCAAATGAAACTATATTCCAAGAACCATCCCTGAGGCTGTGTTGCTCCATTGCTGACAAGATTATTCCAGAGTCTTCTAATCCCACACCCATTTTATCACTGCCATGGCTTTCTTCACCAATAAGCTTCTCATTTTTCTTTGGAGTTGCTTCACTATAGTCTTTTGTGCCAGCAACAGCTACAAATTTTCAGCATAACAGAAGAGAAAATGTTAACATAGGAATTTCAGAATTATCATGTCTGAGACAAAATTCTGCATAGTAACTCAACATCAACAAAACAAAATGGCATGTGTATAATACCTCCTGAATGTGTGGATAACTTGTCATGACTCAAGTTACTTCTTGAAACAGCCTCGTTGGTAAATCCTCCTCCAAAACACTTTTCAGCATATTCCTCCCAGTATGGAGGAAATCCAAAAACAAAATGATTGAAGACCTGTTCAGGGTAAGATTTAATATAGAAACTTCATTTGGAATTTTGACAAAATCAAATTGCAATATTGTATCATGTCTAAACTCTAAAATAAACATGTAAATGCAACCATAAAGTTCAAGGATCCAGGCGCGCAAAATTTTGATGTATTTTACAACTCATCAGCGAAAGCTTCATCAAAATTTCAAAAGTAAAAATATGACGAAGATAAATTATTTATATATTTCGTTTTATTTGCCTTACAATAACTTCATGTTTGACATACCATCCCTCACTAGATTAACTATGAACAAAATAATAAACATTATCATGTTTCTCAGAATCATAATTCTTTAGTTTCGCAGAGTCAATGCTTGTGCGACATGAGTCTTTAGATGAACTTATGGTGCCAAGACTCCAAGAAAATATAAGCCATAAGTCATATTAACTTAACCACAGGCAGAGTTCATCTTTCAAGTAATGCATCTGAATTGTCACCTTAGTTACACAAATCAAACAGCACTTGGACAGCTTCTTGATTGCTTTGATTTCAAGTCACCAAGGCTCCAGAACACAACTGTGGCACTGTGAAGCACTATGACACTCCACAAAAATGTTTTGACCACTAGAGTCAGTAACTGCAATTGGACAACTTTGCCACCGGTTGTCTCATCAACTTCCCCAACCATGCCAGCTTCCTAATTTCACATATTGAGCCATTTTCATGCACCTTCAATGATAAAGTGACAAATTTGCTCCAAGAGTCCAACTAACCAGCAAAGATCTTAGTAAGGTAGTTCATATATTAACATTTTATACTTAGTTTTGGCTACTTGTTTTTCTACATCAGTAGTTTAGTCACCTAAAACTTTGGTTTTCCATTATTAATAGAAAAAACTTGGCACCGATGAATGTTTCTTGTAACATTCTACAAACATAGAAATTAGGGCCCCATTTGGGAGAACTTTCTCATATTAAAAGTCCTTCATCGACAAGGCCTTCGTGAAATGAATTTATTAAAAGGAATTCGTAAGAAAAAGACGATTGGCGAGCACATTTCTTAAATTTACTTTTACTTATAGATTATTTTTTTCTTGACAATAATATCCTTCATCCTAGACAATTATTGCAAGCCTCCAATAAAATGTGTGAAGGAAGCAATGGTGGAAGGCGAGGGCAATGGTGGTGGTGATAGAAGGTGGTAGTGATGGAATGAAGGACCAAGAAAGAATATAGGACAATATTGTCAATCTATCAAAAGTACATGGGCAAATTAGTAAAATGATAAATTTATCCTTAAAAAAAATTGGCTTCTTAAAAGGAGGTTTCAAAAGTAACATTTTCTTACTTCTCTAAAATGGGCTTTTTGACCATTAACTTTTCGAGAAAGTCCTTTACATATGTGTAACCAAACATCACAATTTTTTTCAAATAAACATTTCTGACTTGGAAGGGCTTTTTGAGGCTTCAAGAAGCTCCCCCAAATGGGGCCTAGAAGTGTGGTCCCCACACTTGTCACGTGATAGTGATATGATGATTTAGTTGTATGGCGCTTTGATATAAAATAAACTTAGGAACACCTCAAGCTAAAACGGATCTATAGCTAAGATTAATTAGTCTCTAACGAGTAAATAAAAAAAAGGTTGGCAATTAAAAGGCATTTCATTGAACATTTTATATCCTTATGATGTGAGAATGAGGTCCCTACACTCGTCACATGATGATTTAGTTGTCTGGTAATTTTATAAAAAACAACAAGCACAGGAACACCTGTCACTAATTGAAGGGGAAAACATAAAATAAAATAAGGAAAATGCCCCCAATCCACATTCATATCCCTCTCATTGAAACTCTGACACCTGCCATTCATATAATCATATTCTTTACCTAACCTTTGATTAACTTAAAACCATGCTTATCATACCTCGGCAGGAAACCCATTTTCTTCTGTGCGGACCTTGTTTATGAAGCCCTTAGTAATTATGAATATCCCATCAACTGTCTCAAGAGTGAAGACATCGAATCTCCTATGGATTGGTGCAGAAGAGAAAACTCGCCGAGCTTGTTGCCTACAGCAAGTAAATATATTCCAGAAAACAGAAATAATAGAATTTCCGTATCTGCTAGAAATCTAAAGCAAGTTAAAATGTGGAAGCTGCAGTAAGTTGTTAGTAAAGCTCGTTATAATCCAGAAAGTGCACCTGGCTGTAATTTGTATAAACAGTGTATGGGAAGAAGAATAATGATATATCAATAAAATAACAAAACAACTGTAAAACTTTTTGTCACTAACAGGCCAGGCCTAGCGGTTCCGGACCCCTACTTCCCAAAGGGAGGTCAGGGGTTTGAGTCTCGGTGGAGGCATGTGTGTGTGAGTACCAACTACGAACAAAAAAAAAAACCTTAAACCTTTGTCCATTTATGCCAAAAATCTTGTATGCAAGACACTTCCACTGATACAGAATGGTCCAAGTGGGGAAAGCAAGGTTTCATATTATAGACTATCAGAGTTTAAAACCTAAAGAGTTTTAGAAAAACAAGAAAAGGAAATGTAACCAAAAATTGTGGACACAACTGAAGTAAAGAAAGTGGCCATCACATACTGCGTGCTCTTACTCTCACCATGTTTGAGGTCTTATGTTCTTCTAAATTCCTAGCTCTAATAAAGTCTCATGCAGCCCCCACGTGGGCTTCGCGCCATGGCACCATTTTGGTGCCTTTGGGGCACCGGATGGTCCATAGATCCCCTCCCTCGATCCAATCACAACTACTTGCCAAAGGCACAAGCATGAGGTAAGCATTGCACACCCCTTTAAAAGATGAGACACATAAATGCAAACCAATAAATCATATTAATCACGAAACCTCAAATTCGAAATGGTGTTCACAAGTACAGTGATGCCAAATATTACGAAATTACCACTCTAAGCTCAAAACATCAAAACCATATACAAGAAGCACAATTTCTCCTACTACCATGCATTTTGCCCAGCAACGTCACCATGAATCGTGAATATAAGATAACCCTAAGAAAGGAAGGCCTTACTCTCCAGAAGTAAACCCAGCAATAGCGAGTCTCTTCTCTCCGACGTCCGTTTCGACCTTAATGAACCACCAATCTTGCAAGCAAACCTTTTATTATCGGAAACAAGATGAAAATCAAAACAAAATCAAACATATATCATGGGATGAAATGGGTTTTTGATTTGAAAGTGTTTCGGGAATCAAACTTTACTGTTTTTTGAAAATGAGATAACGAAGCATTGTTGCTGTCGATTGATTGATTCGATGTAGAAGCAGAGGCCATGGAGATAGAAACGTACTGTAGACACGGTTTCAGCAAGTTTCGCTTTTTTCTAGGGTTTTGAAGGGCATTGCTGAAAACTCAAATCCCTGAGGCGGTTGAGATGTAATGGCGCGGGAAAGTAAGTGAACGAGTGGACTCAATTGTGGCGCGATTGTTCGTTTCTTAAAAAGGTCCGGTGTTCGAATCACAATGAGGACTATTATCATCATTATTATTATTATTTTGGTATACTTCTTTTATTCCACTGAAATTAGTCCCGTTATGACAATAAGTCCCAGGTCAGTAAGGAGGAAACTATTATATGGTATTGGGCTATTGGTTCCATCAATTTATTGCTCACCTTCAAGCATAAAATTGAATAAAGTTTTGACAAATTTATTTATATGTCATCATATTCAAAATTATATAATAATTTTTCGATCGATTATAAGTCAATTTAATTTACAACAAAAATAAAATTAAATACACCACCCCATTCTAAATCGGGAATGTAGAGTTAATCTAAAATATGAAGAAACTAATTATTAATCTCAAATGATACCACAAAGCATTGCATTATAACACTAATATTTCATTCATATATTATAAATTGGTGATTTGAATTTCAAAAGTATCAAAACTAAGGCCAGTTCTTACTCATTGACTAAAAATAGTGAGTTGTTGTGGACTTCTTGTTATCAAATCATGACATAAAGTCCTAAAATTAGACAAATCTGAGAGGTGGCATGTACCCCCATCACTACATCATGACTCTAATAAAAAGAGTTAGTTTAATGCAAAATGTTTCTATTATTGAAGGGTCTCCAAGTTCACCTTCTCTCAAGTCTTACATCCCATTTTGTACATAAATAAGAAATCTTCGTTTAAGGTGTGAGATATTGTAACTTATAACATCTCTTGTAAATTTTAAAGTAAAAGATTGAACATGAAAGCAAATTGAATGTATGAGTTATTTGTTAAAAAAATATAAATACAAATAAATTGGAGAAGAAAGGGAGTTCATTATAAAAATAGCATGGTGAATATAGTGATAAACTTGCAATTTTGAAATAATTGTTCTTTAATCATATTGCTGAAAAGTAATTTTAGAATGAAAAAACAAAGAGTAATGACAAAAATTTTAAGACTCAAATAAATGGAGTCAAGCAATATTTTGTTGTCAATAAATAATACAAATATTAACAGACCTGTGGCTTAACGGTATCAAGTCCCTACACCTCAAAGGGAGGTCAGGAGTTCGAGCTTTAGTGGAAACATATGTGTGTGAGTACCAATTAGGAAAATAATAATAATAATATCTTGGACAATCGGTTTCAAAAAAAAAAAACTTTAAAATTATTTTTAATACAAAATTTTAGTTTTATCCTTACAAAATAAAATTATGTAGGTACAAAGATGGGCGAGTTGTGGATGCCAAAATAAAATCCAACCATCATTTTGGAAGAGTTCTAATTCTTATCAAAAAAAAAAAAAAAATTGGAAGAGTTCTAATGTAATTTAGAAAAAAAATAAAATAAAAAATAAAACAGAATTGTTTTGAAATATGATGCCCAGATCACCCTCAATCAAAAAGTAAGTTGGGATCCCACATTCTCCCTCCCAAGCGGAGGGTACAAAATGATTGAAACGGTGAGGCACACATTATATATATCTCATCCTATCTAGGGTTTAGGGTTCTACATTTTCCCCGAGCTCAGTTCTTACGAGGATACAGAATCAACCAAAAATGGCGTTTAGAGCAGGACTTCTCAGGCGATTTCTCTTTTCATCTCAGCCTAATGCTTCGGCTGTTGCTGCTAATACGCCTCCTTCAACAACCCTTTTCGTCTCAGGTTAATTATGTCCTCAAAATATACACATATTAGATACTTCGTTTTCTTGCAATATCTGCGTCTATAGCATTTCTGTTTCTTTTTTTGAGGTTGGGTAGCTAGAGACGGAGAAAAGAGAGTTTGCATTTGTAATAGGCGTACAATACGATAAAAAAAAATATAAGAAGTCTTGAAATTATCATTAAATGAACAAGAGTATTTTTTAAAATAGGTTCTCCAATGGGGAGAACCAATATTGGATCATAGAGGGAATTCTCGTCGATCCCATTTGAAGTTTCATTTAATTTGGAGATTTCCAACAAGAGAGATAAAAAGGAAGAAGAAAGAGTTGCAATGATCTGCAGCTGAGGGTTGTTGTCCGGTTCGGCGGTAATGCTTGATCATCAGTGCCACTGTGCAAGTCTGAGCCTGACAGCAACCGCTTTGTGAAATAGTTGAGGTTAAGAATTGGGTAAATTAATAAATGTTCTGTAGTCGCTTGATGTTCTGAAATGTGATAGTAAATAAATGATTTTGTATTGGGTGACTTGATGCTACGTTTTAGCATGTCAATAGTTTACATCAATTCAAATGATTGCTAGGTATGTATGCTGGTTAATTGGCAATGTTAAGGTTTCATTTGTTGGTATGTGATCCTGTTAAGGTTTCATTTAAATGACAATCTGAAAGTGTGAGCATCTTTTTTGAGATGGATGTCATTTTTCCAATTACGGACATTCAAGAAAGATTTTTCATTGACATGCTATGTAGAAAGTGAATCGGACTACTCAGTTGTAGGGGAGATGGCCAAGTAGATGTACATGTTTTTTCTCTCGGGTAGTTAGTTCCAATTAATTGATATTGTTTCCCCCGCCCCCGATAGGTAAATCCCCATAGGGGAGGGTGGGCCTTGTCTCAATAACAAGGTTGTTCCATTGTGACCTGGAGTCGAAACCGAAAACAGCATTTCCATGTGGACATAAGGCTGCGTATGTCTGACCCTTGCTAGACCCCGCAATGGCGGGAGCCTCATGCACTAGGCTAACACTTTGAAAAGAGTGGAAAAGGGAATTGATGTGGCCAACGCCATTGGTTGGCAAAGATGATGACGAGGTCAATCCCCATTGGGGTTTGAATGGTTGAACCCACAACCTCCCCTTTAGGGGGTGGACATGCCACTCAAGTCAAGGCTTTGACATTTATGAAGGGCACTATAAATACATACATACATACATACATATATATATTTGTGTGTGTATATATATATTGTCTGTCAATGATGGTGGTGTCAGGCCTTTTAGAGCTCCCTATAGTACCACCGGGCACACGCAATAGCCCATCCCACATGCCCCTGGAATTGCTGGAAATATTCGCTGGGAGTGTCCACAAGAGATTCGAACCCCAAACCTCCAAGATGTGAGGTAAGAGCCTTGTCATTATGTTATCCCCTTGGGGTCAAGGTAACTTAGAGTTGACTCAGCACATTTTGCTCCCCCACTTTTTTTTTTTTTTTTTGTAATATATTTTTATATTATTGTTTTTTGCAAAAACCATCTCATAAACAGTACTTATCTAAAATAGAAGAATTAGAATGAGTATTTTAGCCACTTTAAATGTGTCATGATAGAGATCAAATTGGTTAAGTTTTTTGAATGATCATCAGATAGTCAATTTGATCCTGTGATGTTAAGGATATACTTGCATGCATGCTGGTGTTGTATTATCTTGCAAACTTAAATTTCCCACCATTTTTTCCTTGTTTTTATTCTCCTTGGGGATGGGGGGAGGTTAAAGTTTGTGCTTCTAGACTCATGGATTGTTGCTTCACTAAAGCCTGATGGCTTCATTCTGTATTTATGCTTACAGGGCTGAACAAGAAAACTACATCAGAAAAACTAAATGAAGCATTCTGTAAATTTGGGGATGTTGAACATGGTAACTTTATTTAAAATATTTTCACTACTTGCTTGTTAGTTTGTTATTTCTGCTCTCTCTCTCTCTCTCTCTCTCTCTCACACACACACACACAGAAGCATGTTATGCATACACATGCACAAGGAAATTGACTTGCTTGTTAACAGAAAACATCACACACAAGGACATTTTCTTCTCATGTGGATTTTGCGGAACTTGCATTACGTAAGAAACATAGACACTTCTAAGTTCTTAATTTCGGACCATGACAGCACTTATTGAAAATGTTATAACACGTGACTGATGAACGCTGAACATTGGATTAGTCTTTATTTAACATTAAAAGAATGTATAATTGTGAGAAAAATCAAACTGAAGGTTTATTTAAAATTTGTCCAAAGTTCAATAATTTTTCTGAAAAAATAAAACAAGTTAAGTTTTATGGAAGGGGTGGGCATGGAGTAGGGGAGGAGTAACCAGAGTACGTTTGTATACCTGCCTATAATATATACATGCATAAACCAACACACACACGCAAATATAAGTTGTGTCCTTATTATGTCTTTCTCTCCGTGACAGGGATAATTATAATTGTATGATTTGTAAGTTACAAATTCATGTAACAATCATATAATATTTATATCATATAAATTATGATTCTTATATAAAGAATATATGTTCTTTTGCCGTGTCTTTGCCTTGTCCATGTCCTACATTTTGTAGGATTTGCCATGTCTGCATGTCCATTTCCTGTGTCCATGCTAATTTACTGCTTTTAACCGTGGAGGAAAATTGTTACTGTTTTCAGAAACATAAGATTTGTCTTTATAGAAGAATTGAATTTTACCTTCCCAAAAAAAAAAAAAAAAATTTGAATTTCAGGAAAGCTGAGATGAATTCTAAATTGAATTACAAGTGAAGACGTGAAATAACGTCATTGATAATTATTCTGTCTTTTAGCCAGAGTAGTGACAGACCGGACATCTGGATGTTCAAAAGGATTTGGATTTGTGAGATATGCCACTCTAGAAGGCGCAGAGGCAGGAATTAAGGGAATGGATTCATAGGTTAGACTACTAACTCCCCTGGTGGTTTAATTTTTTGATTGATAATGCAAACGCCAAGTATATCTTGATGATTGCCCAGCTGTCAGAATTTTTCTTTGTCCATCTCTTTCATTATTTTCAGCTGTTTTTAGCTGTATAGATTTCGTTTGCAGCGTAGATAACAGAGATCTAAATACATGGAGAAATGATCTTTAAGAAATAAAACGAGACACATCCACCAGAGAATCAACTTAGATGTTGGAGTACTTCAGTAAATATTTATTTGTTCTTTGTGAGAGTAGTGATTGGATTGGATAGTTG